ATTTTATTTTATTTTGGTAATATATCATGATTATTACAGTATCGAATTTAAATCAAGTTGCTATTAAGGGCTCTCAAGCAACTACCTAAATAAATTCAATAAAAGATCTGATAGGCTAATTTGATCAAACAGACCAGTCAGATTCGTTATTGGGTCCATTGAAGGTAGTGCTTGAGAACGTCCTAAATTTATCAATTATATAGTACCAAATATAGAATCGACTTAAGTTGTTTTTAAATTTCGAATCAACTTGGACTATATTTGGAATCCCGTTCCAATCTAAGTGGATTCTAAATCTACAATAATTTCGTTCCGACGTACGACATATATATATATTTGATAATTCTCATAAACGTGAGTATTTAAAAGTAGAATAGGATAATTTAAAAAATAGTGTTTCTAAATAGAGAGTAGATAAGGAGGGTATTACTCTACCTATGATTTATATATTATTATTAAAAACGAAATTCCAATTATCAATGAGAAGGATGAAGCATAGAAAATAACTGAAATTGATTGCTGTTACTGAATCAATGATGTAAATGATGTAGTAACGACATAAAGGAACCACGTAGTTTAATAAAACATTTCTAACATTGATATAGTATGTCTTATAGTATCTTTCATAAAACTTCCCATAATTTTTTAAAATGTTGATTTTTTCTATGGTTTGTTAGAGTACTCATGTCTGAATTTTACAAAATACAAATTTAAGTAAAAATATGAGAATTATTATAACCTACACCAGTGGTTATAAATAACCACTCCCTATTAAAACTTAGGGTTAGGGTGCAGCTTTGAGATAAATAGGAGTTTTTTATATAAAATGTTTTTTTTATATAATATAATATATATTGGATACAAGACTCCGATTTCAGTTTTCATGAGGTTTTTGAGGGTCCTGAACATTTTTACTTAGAGTACCCGATCCCGTTTACTTAGTACATTATTGATATTAGCACACTGGTTGTCCTTAACCACTGGTGCAAGTTAAAAATATCCAAATATGAAATATAAAACACAGAATATAATAAATATATAATTATGATTAGTATTATTATAGAAGTATTATATGAGCTCCAACATCAGATCATATGCGTGTGCTACAATCGATCTTATAAACGCGTTCAACTTTACAAACACGTCCATCTTTTTTTCCATTCCACATGACAAAATGCCGACTTAAACCTTTATTTAAAATGTTAAAATACTCTGTGTATCCGTATATCAGAATATTAGGTGAATTCCCACTCCAAATGGTACGTGGAATCACTATTTCATTGAAAAGGTATCTACAACAAAATACGAATTATTGCAATAAAGAAAGAAAATGCTCCTAATCCTGTAGCAATTTTGGAATTTTTGGTAACTGCATGTAGCGCTTTGAGTGCTGAATCAAGGCTTTGATTTGGAACTTAAAACCAGGAACAAAATAACGGCCTGTACTTACTGGTATGGGCCTGCGACAAGGCCGGACTTCATGCCTAGTAAACGAAAATCCTATCTTAGCTTGAGCACCTGGGTTATTATAGTTTGTAAGTTGTACTAGGTTTGAAGCTGTTTTCTAATAATTTTCTTTGCTATATCAAATTTTAAGGAACAATTACGTACGTAGGAAAGATTCGGAATACATAGGAAAAAGTAAGACATGCACATTTTGCTTTACAGCACTGTGCTAGGCCTTGCGATACTGGGAGAAAAGAATATCAGGTCTTCTCGTAGGTGCTGTATCTGTGACTCCTGGTCAGCTTCTGCTGAGGTGAGAAGCGAGTCACAATCTAACATATGTTCGTGACTTGTACTGTTGATTTTTTTTTCTTTTGTATATAGGAAAAGCTCGAAAGCCCCATGAATATTGTACAGATGCTGAAAAAACCACCTTATTTCTTTAAATAAGGATATTGAAGAAATGACTTAGCAAATTGTTAGGAATAAAATTTTCCAGTAACGAAGAGAATAGTGGAGACGATAAGTTTTATCACGTTATGACGAACAATCACGAGATATATTATACTTCTGTAGATCATATAGTATATATATAATACTTATGTATATACCCTGGTATAAATCATATAGTATATATATAATTATATTATTATTAATTCAAGCATACAAGCTTTATATATTCAAGTTCAGTTAAAAAATCTTCGCATGATTAGTCACCTTGAAGACGAAGATAATGAATTAAGTGAAGAGCCGCTACAGAAAAAACACCATCGCGTAATAATTATTACAGTGTGCCACCCCGCAAAACTTCAAGATATTTGGATACTTATTTTAATAGTGTACATCATTTCCTTAGCTGGGCATAAAATTTAATTTTAATTTGACCAATAATGATAGGCATAACATGATATCTGATATACCCTGTGATTTTTATCATTATTATCATGTTAATCATGTAAATGTTTCCATATCGATATTGTTTTAAAAATCTCTAAAAATATGTTTATGTTAAACAAAACTGGACTCTTAATTGTTTCACAATAGGATGTACGATAAGATTTCTATAAATAAAAATTTCTTTTATCGTTATATCTTTAAAACGCCTTGTTCGCCATAGATACTTATCAAAGTGACCTATATAACTAATATTATTAAAGTTAAAATAAAAACTATAACCCACGTGTATGCAAAATAATTTACTATATGTCTAACGCATAGGGCACGTAAAATTGACGATACCTTAAATTGAAATGTAGACTATCGTATTTAACACTTCTACATATACGTATAACTATAATATAATGGATATTCGCTTAAAATTACTATAACTGTGCTTAATCAGGTTCCTGGCTATCGGAAGATTTGTCAACAAAGCGTGATTAATGCATATATCTGAATATATCAGTAATAATCGGAATTTGCCTGAGAAAAATTGAAATTTGATATATAAAATGTTTTCGAAGTTGTTTTTAACCTTTTTATCTTTACTCACTCCGCACAGACTTAAAAAATAAACTTCATAATGGCTGAACCTATAATATCATTTCATATATATATTTCATTAATAATAACTCTTCTTTTATCATTTACTCTTCTTTCGCTGCGGCCTCCGACTTCTGGATATTTGTATTTAAAACTATGTTTAATAGCTTCAGTATATGCATCAATACCCTTAATATTTGGTTCATATTATCCTTGTATAGATAATTTATCAATTCCAGTGCTTACTTTTACATTTTTATTTAAAATAATGGTTTGGTTAAAAAAAACCTACAAATTTGTCGGTAAAAAGAAAGAAGAAATCGAAAAAATTAAATTTATACCATTTTGGTTGACCTTATTCAGTTGGAGACGTAATGATCTAAGTCGTCACAGTCAAAAGAATCAAAAGAGTCAAAAAAGTACTACACAAACATTATTATTAACATCACAAATAGTAAATTCGCTCTTATTTTTAAGTATACTTAATTTTATTCCAAAATTAATAATACGTGAAATTTGGGCATTTGTTATAGAATATCTTAGTCCTGAGGTACCGGAAAGGCCCTACGCGCTTCGAATTCTTGACTATTTTCATACACCATCACAAATTTCAAATATAACTAGTCCTTATATGTTATTTTATTGTTACTTATATGGTGGATTCTTATATCAGAATATGGATTACTTATATCATTTATTTAAAGTCTTTGCGGCTATCTTATTATGGATTATACATCGTTCCCATTCTTCAAATTATCATATGAATATGCGATCATATTCACATCCTCATCAAAATAGTTCGTACAACATAACAATTATTCACATGACTTTTTATCTATATTCATTATTAACTACAACACCTCAATTATTCAACAAGCCATTTTTATCTCAAAATCCAAAAGATCTTTGGTCAAAAAGATGGCATCAAATATATAGATCAAGTTTTACAGAACTTGGTTATTTTCCTATAATTAATTTCTTTGAAAAATTTAATAATTCATCATTAAGAGTAACATTATTTGATTATATTAATTCTGCTGCAAAATTACTTAGAAGACTTGGTTCTTTATTAGGTTATAAAACGTTTTTAAGGAATAAAAAAATTCAAAGGGACATTCAAAGCACCACAGAAATTATTAATCAAAATGATGAATTTTTAAAGAACGATCAAATTTTTAAAAATAATGTTTCAACTTTTAATACTATTACTTATAGTGAAATTTCGAGAGCTTTAGCAGTTATAGGTAGTTTTCTTTGGAGTGCTATATTACATGAATATTTATTTATTGGTTTATTTGGTTGGAATAATAGTAAAGGTGAACATTTTTCTTTTTTTTTGGTACATGCATTTATAATGATTATTTGGGATTTATTAAGCAAACTGTTTAATAGATTTTGGAAATTATATTATCATGATTATGACTATCATGATAAAATTGAATTGAAAAAAACTGAAAAGATATTATTTATGATAAAAAAATTTTTAGGGTTTATTATTTGGAATTTTATATTAACTTTAACATTACCTTTATTTATCGAACCTTATATTAGATTACATCATTACTATTGTGTACCTCATTTGGGATGTCAACGAAAAATTTAAAAAAAAAAATTTCATTTCCAAGAAATAGTATATATTTTGTAAATTTCGATAATGGTTAGGTTTGACGATAAAAATAATATATTAATCTAAACTTTAGCATTAACAATCACAATCTTATTGAGATGTGATGACTATTATGTATAATATATAAATAAAAAAAGGGTGTTCAAAAAAATGTAAATTTTTTTTTTTTTAGAATAAAAAAAAAAAAAAAAAAGAATGTTAATAATCTTGAGCTTGTGCTAAGCGTGCTTCCAAATTCCTCAAAGCCTCCTCTTTAGCTAAAAGTTCTTGTCTCTTTTCAGAAATTTCTCGTTGAACTTTTAATTCAATTTCCCTCAACTAAAGAAGAACAATGTTTCAGTTATGATACAATAGATTGTCTTTCATTTAAAATGTATGAATCGTTTACCTTCTCTTCTTCACGTTTTAATTGTTCTTCCTTTATTCGTACACCTTGAGTAGCGAGATCATCCGGTAAGATATTAACATCCCTATAATAATAAAAAAATGTTAACGTTATATAATTCAGTTTTTTGATACAGTAAGCCTGTACATACTCAGTAGTAGTATTGTTAGCACTCCTGCTAAGTTTCTCTGTACGATAATTTTCGTATAAGAAATCATGTGTGATCTCTTTTAAGTCTTGTAAATGAGAGCTATGATAATAAGTATAGGAATAAGCATAGATAATTATCAATACTTTTCATAACGATAAGAAAACATAACTACCTTAAAAGTGCTGATCGCAATCTGGCAAAATCCGAATGTTGTGGATCATCAACTGCAAAAAAAAAAAAAAAAAAAACATAATGATAAATTATGTCAGTAAAAAAAAAATTTTTCATGAGTATATCTAAATTGAACCAGGATAGACCTTCAACAACACCCCATGGGTATTGTCGTCCACGAACTGATCTTCCGTTTACAATAATCTCCTCTTCGCTTCCAATAATGGCAAAGGGTAGGAGGGCCTATGTGGAAATTATTAACGAAAAAAAAAAACATATATTTCTAAAATATCAAATTAATAATAGCACTCTTACCCTTAATTCACTATTTTCTTCAACCGTTTCTTCGTCATCTTCTTCAACGTCAAATGGAAAGTTATAGATTGGGATGTTATAATGTTCGATATCCTCCATAATCTAATTATATTTTAGAGTTAAATAAAATAAATGTTGGATCTTCGCATCGATAAATTAAAAAATTTTGCGCATACCATCTTTTTGAATTCAGCCAGTTCAGCTGGAGTACACGTATCGGCCTTACCGATAACCGGAATGACGTTAACACGTGGGCTAAGACGTTTCATTAATTCGATATCAATCTCACGAAGACTAGAAATTAATGTTATAAAGATCAATCTGGAACATAATTAATTTAATAAACAAACACGAATATAAATACATACGAATGACCCGTTGGCGTAATGAAATAAAGAAGTGCATGAACTCGATTATCACGAAATCGAGGATTACGTTTAATCCTCGACTCTTCTGCTAAAATATCATCATATTGTCTTTCCAAATAACCCATAATTTCCTGAAAACTAATAAAAACCTAAATCAATAAAAAAAATAATAACTTCGAAAAAGATTTGCGTTATACTGTATAATAAGTATACCAAAATTCATTGTCTATATTATCACCGAATCCAGGAGTATCTACAATTGTCAAAGCAATTCTGGCACCATCTTCATCCAACTCTGAAATGATTTATTTTGGAACAACATATTTTACGTACGTACAGTACATAAAAATAGATCAAACAAATTTAAAATAGATTGATTGAATAAATAACTTACCAACAGTTACTGGCTTTATTCGGATGCCCGCTTCTACATGTGCAGTTTCAGGAGTATCACATAACTTTTTTGCCAAAACTTCACTACCACAAAGAGTGTTGACGAAAGTGGAACGACCTGTTCCAGAAGCTCCTAAAACATTTAAACATATTCGTTATCATCAAACCGATAATATTTACCTATGAGTGCCCTCATAAGCACGTACCAACTACCATAAGGGTAAACTGAAATCCTTTTTTTCACATTTTTTCTACGACCACCCGATCTCTAAAAATTGAAAAAAATTATTTATTATTAAGAAAAATCAACATTTTAACTTATTTTTAAATCATTTTAAATCGAATAAATGACTTGAAAAAATTTAAATATCAGTATGACTCACATGAGCCATGATTTATTCAATAGATTTAAAGAAAGATATAAGAATAAAAAAGAGAGAAAAGATCAAGTTGGTAGAAACTGATGAAATTCTAGATTTAAGAGTAAAAAAAAGAATTTGTAGTGAAAGCGGACGATATGCATAAAGATTATTTGTACATACAAAACAGAAAAATGATTAGTACCGAGTGTTCAGTTTCACAGAGTTGAAAAAGTCGAATCAGTTTATAACTTATCAGCATTAATGCTCAATTTGCACAATATTACATATCATTAAGGGAGAATAATATTAATTTTATATTTAAGTAAATTATTCTAAGAGTCTGCGGTAATTATGAATCATATTCAAAACGATGGATGGATCTGCTCGTTATGGATCTGTATGGACCTAAAAAGATAACTTTGACCGGCCTTCCAGTTGAAATATAAAAATCTAGTCTAGTCTGGATCGGTTTAAACATAATTTACTTACTTTTTTTTTTTCTATTCTCTTGGCAAATTCTTTAGACTCAGCTCGTTCGTGCAGGCCTCAGATGCTTGTTCATGCACTGCTGTAATATGCATGAAATTATGCATATTTAGTAATTCTTGATATAAAATGCAGCAAACCATAGCCTAGAAGGTAAACCAGAATGGTAAGTAACGACGCTTTAAACAACAGGAATTTACCGATAGTGAATTACGTCTCTTAGCAATATGATTACCGGTTTCTAAAACGATAACGATAACGCTAATTGAAAAACTGACGTACATGTTCACGTGATGACATCATTCTCGTGTATCTATAAGATTTTAAAAGTTGGAATGATGTTGTAGACTCAAGTCAATCCTCGTACGTACGTACGTACGTATTTAAAAAAATATGATTTGTGTTAAGATTTTTTTCGTTACCTTGTCCGTAAATCTTCACACTATGTTTTTCCGAGTAGATCAGCAGGATTATGGGTGCGCAAATACGAATCTAAAAAACGCAAAGGTAAGTAAGTAGCACCGTAAAGTAGTACAGATTTGAACAGATATACGTAATTGTCGATAGTATGTACACTTATAACTCTTAATGCTACGTAGAAGAACATGCGTATATACGTTTTACGAATGGTATCGGTATTAACTCATTTCGCTAACAGTTAAGTCTTAGCTCGATTTAGAGTTATGATTGACCCGATTTAGAATAAGTGTTGGCCGACAGAGAAATGGCTATCAGCGAATCCCGTTCTTACATCCGTGCATTAAATACGTACTACCGAATTTTACCAATTGGAATATTCAAGTTTTTTTTGTTTATTTATTATTATGAGTTTAAAAATTTCACACACCCACATGAGGCCATGCACCCTGTGATTGACCAATCAAAATCAATCACATGATTATTTTTTTAAAAAAAAACTTTACACAATATACTGTAAAATAATATTATTACTTACTTGTAGTTATCTATTTACTATTATCTACTTGCATTTAACTACTATACTACAACACACATAATAACCTATTTATTTATTTATTTTTTTAGTTAAAACCTACTATCTACTTTATTTGATTATAAAAAAATAGTACAATATAAAGCTATATAACAAAAACACTAGATAAAATTTATTTTAAAAAAACTTTAAAAATAATAGGCTAGGTGCAATAGAAAAAAAGAAAATTGACAAATTTTTAAAATTTTTTTTTTATATAAATTAATTTATAATAAAATTAGAATTATTTTTTACTTAAAACATAAAAGTAGTTATATTAATAAAATTTTGTAATATAGCTCTTTAAAGTTTGTTTTTTTTTATAATTTATTATAAAATTTACAATAAAAATTAATTTTTTAAAGATCTTTTGTTTTGTTGATTTCTCCTTTTTTTTATTACACCTAGCCTATATAATAATATCAAAAATAGCAAATAAAAGATAATAATAATTTCAAGTATAGCAGTTTTAAAAATATTTTTAAAATAACTAAATTGAATTTAAAAATATATATATTTAATATTGTATAGTATATATTATATTAATTATATTTGAAAAATTACTTTAAAAAGACAATACTAAAACAATTTTACAATCTCAAATCTGCAAGCACTTTATCTCTCAACTTAAAAACTTTTTACTTTCTAAACTTGACAATTTTTTAAGATTATACTGCTATGAAAATCAATATAGTAAATGCTTTTACCATATAAACTATTACTTATTTACCTGTAAATATATCAACTATAGTTATATTTATAAATACAAATATAACACATCTAAAATGTTTAAAAATATCCTAGTCAAATCTTTTGAAGAATACCTTAAATAATTTAATCAACCTTTAATTACTTTTGATACAACTATTTTTAATATTAATGCCAAATATGAAGTTACTTTTTTTAAACCTATACCAACCAAACTTCTTAACAAACTTGCAGATGATGCAGAAAAGGAGTATTGTAATAATAATTTTATTCTTCTCTCAACTAAACAATGTAATAACTTTTTTTACCAACTTTTTTTACTTTACTAACAAAAAGCTAAATTTAATTTACAAATAACTAACCTATTAAAAGAAAAAGCAATTAAAAAAATTACCTCTAATTAGTGCTTGGCACAATCAAACAAAAGTTTGACAATTAAATACTTGTTAATACTTGTGATTAAGATGAACATTAAATAATTGCAGATTAACTAATAGTATATATTTAGCTTTTATTAATCTGTAATTGTTTAATATCTGATTTAAATATAAGTATTAACAAGTATTTAACTATTGAATTTTTGTTTGATTATACTAAGCACTACCTTTAATATTATAAATACAAACTTCTTTGCAAAGATAATCATTTACTATGACCTTACTCTAATTTAACAATCATTCTTTTTACAACTTTCCAAATTTTATAAAAAACATGCCTACTTTGAAGCTAAAAAAATAATTACTACAAAATATAATCTTAACTTTCAACCTCCTACACTTATTTTAAACTCATTATTTCTTAGTAAGTCTTCTTTTCAATAAGCTTGTTTTCTACAAACTTTATAAATATAGCCACTATCTCTCTAAAGGATATACTCATTGTAGTTAGAAAAAAAAATAATATAAGTAGGCAAGTAGATAAGCTCATTTATTTAGAAGAGCTAAATTCAAACAACTTTTTAATATATAATCTAATAGTTGCTAACTCTTGCAAAACTATGTAAGTTGGGTATATAGTAAAAGCTATAAAAGACACTTTTATCTATAATATTATTTTCAATATTATTAGTCTTCTATGATCTACATACTCTATCTTTTTAACAACTCAACCTTTTTATACTTTCTTTATCTAATAATAAACTCTTTACTAACTTTAATCTTGAAAATAACTCTGAATATAAAACTAATAGTCTATAACTAAAAACAATAACTTAAATAACTAAACAACTTGGCACTATTGATCTACTTATATGTTATAACAAATTTCTCTTTTATTATAAACTATCTTACTTAAATATCTACAAACTATTCAATCTTTTTTCAATTATATATTATATAACTTTTCTTCATATTACTCATCATACTATATTAAAATATTTATTCTTAATACTAAAAACAAAAATGATAATTATATAAAAACATATATATATTTATCTAATAAATATTACCTACTTGTAAACCACTTTATACCTCCTTTTCAAGATCTTTTATATTGTTTAGATATGTTTTTCTCAAAAATATACTTATAATCTATAACAAAAACACTTTAATTTATATGATTTATATTTTATTATTGCTATCTATAATGTTAAAGACTTTAATATTGCTTTTAAAAAACAAA